TATTCTAGATTTGAACAATATTATATTTTATAATGCAAGTCAACAATATTTGATTTAAGCATCTCATATTGATAATATTTTCAGGATATATTCGTAATTTTAATTCTATGATATAATAATATATTGAGCGTTTTTGCAGAAAATTCTCAATGTGAATTTCAGCCAATAATATTTGTATTTAAAAAAAAAAAAAGATTGCAGTAATGGATAGCGGCTCTGATTGAGGAATCGGAGAGCCGAGTTCGAATTCCAGTCGAATCCATTACATTCACTTACGTGGTAATACTTTTGGGAAAGGTATGAATCCTCTCCTTCTCGACCCCCCTCCAACCATGGGCAAATAGAAAGGACAGACAAGATTCTATAGACTTGGATGGCAATTGGTCTACCGCAAAAAGAAATGGCAAACTACTGCGGAAAAAAAAACTACCTCTTCAGTCATGTATGGAAAGATACATGATCGTCTAAAGGTGTATCACGCACGGCACATAACTGACTGAAATTATTTTGTGACGGGAGAATTTATCAGAAATCCCGACGTGTGTTAATTACACTAGTGTACCTAAGTTTTTGAGTATCATGGTACAGGGATATCAATAGTTCATTTTAAGTAAATTTGCACTGATTCCAAAAATGATCCAAGTTTTCCTTACCATCACGTCTAGTCTAGCTCAATATAAGCTTTCTGCCTTATAGCTTCCCAAAACGTTCCTTAATTTTGTCATTGCTTGGGAATTTGGGATAAATATACCCAAAACAATCTCCATTTTTGTTTAAAACTTTGTCATACCATTTGACAAGCCCTGATTTAATATGTATAGCATGAAAATTGATCTTATTTCTATTAAAAAGGGGTTTATGAATGACATTGTGTTGACCAATATCCATATTGCATCTTAAGGGTCACTCTTTTTCCCACACGGTTCTGTGGCTATATTGACTGTCCGGAAACACAGATTTCAATTTCTGACAATTTTCTTTTGAGTATTTCCATTGGTGTTCGTTTATAAAAGATTATAATTATAAAACAATTTAAACCTTAAATACCTATACATTGTCTTGTATTGCTTCTTCATTTTTGTTGAATGGCGAAATTGAAATCTTGCAATCGGTTTCTGTTTCTGTCTATATTTCTGAGATGTGGTATTTTAACTATTTATTGTTGTCCTCATCAATATTGTCCTATTCACAACGTTTCAGGCGCTATAAGCTCCGGCATTCTTCAGGTTGAAATTTCAAACCAAACGCTTTATTGCGGTAAATAGTTCTAGTTCCATGTGAAATGTCTTTTCTGGATATCTCATTTTCAGTTATTTTTTTTTAGTAACTCGACTCTCCATGTTTTTTTTTTTGTTCACCTATTCTGTGGCTAGTTATTGAACATTGGAACAAGTCAATGTATTATTTCACCCAACACTTTTATCCACTGGGCCATATGTCATTGGGGATATAAGTGAAGGAATTTCTGTCATTTATAAAAGTAATGATTCATTATTTTTTAACAGAGCTCATATTATAATTTGTTGTAATTTTTGCTTTTCTCTCACACTCTGTATTACTGGTTCCCATATTGTATTCCTGTATATGTTTGACCGGCTTAGGAAATTTTTGTGGGCAAGCATATGTGCTGATACCTTGAGTTTTCGTATTTTCCAATGATGTTTTCTGTCTATTATTTCAAACTGATACAACAGAAGGCGGGGATCTCCCTTTTTCATATCCATATATGGTCATCAATGCTTGCTTTTTCTATTTCCCCTTATGTTTCGGCTTTATGGTGTTGCTGCAGTCTTGTTTAAGGGGCGACCTTTTTCTTCCTTTTATATCTTGTCGGCTTCGGTTTTCCAGACATGTATATTTCAAGATACCCTGGGAGTTGTCTGCAAACAAGCTTCAATCAACATGATTCTATTCCGGCATACACATCTTCAGTGGGGAATCCTCAAAAACATTATTGTACACATTTGAAGATGGTTTCATTTTATTTTAATCTTGAGGTTAGCAAGTGTCTTTACACAGACCAAACTGTCACACAGAATCATTTTCATAATCTTGGGTAAATGTTTGTGGGGATCGTTGCAATTAGCCGTTTGAATGGACTTGTACCTCAGTGTCATCGTTGGTATTAGCGTCAACATGTATATGTAAAATATTCCACGAGAAAGCTTTGCTTGTGAGGAGGAATGACAAGGTATTAACTGATATATCCAACATATAACTGATCATATTTCATTGCATCATTTTTATCGTTCATTCATAGTAATCATTTTCTGCAATTTACTTATGAAACCATTATCAAATATAGTAACTCTTTTCTACAATTTACTTATGAAACCAATATTAAAAACACTAAGTCTTTTCTACAATTTACTAATGAACTCAATATTAAAAATAGTAACCCTTTTCTTCAATTTACTTATGAACCCACTATTAAAAATAAAACTCTTTTTGAACAATTTACTTATGAACTTACTATTAAAATAAAATTTTCCTGAACGTTCTATTATAATGATTAGGATATTTATATATATATATATATATATATATATATATATATATATATATATAACTCCTCCCTTTTAAAATTCTCTTTGTTAAACTTTAATACCCACCTGCACTTTTAGGCCTTCCTCTTAAAACAATTTTTGATGAAAATAGGTACTTGATAAGTCCAGTAGTTATTATAACCTCTTTCCATTATTGATGGGTGCTCTTGCTTTAGTGGAGTTCATTTAGGTCGAGGGAAACATCAGCTTGATTCAACGCATCTTGTAGTACTGGAATGTCTCCATGGAATAGACACTTCTTTTACTATTACGTTAAAAAATTTTGACTTTTAATAACTGTGGGTCAGTAGTAAAGAAAAGTTTTTGATGTGCAGTGTTTTACCGATATTTACCGCCATTTTGCACCAATTGATTCAAAAGGTTCTATAATATTTGAAAGTAATTATTTCTACAATCTACTTATGAAACCAATATCAAATATAGTAACCCTTTTCTACAATTTACTTATGAACACACTATTAAAATTAATAACTCTTTTCTACAAATTACTTATGAAATTAATATTAAAAATAAAATCCCTATCCTGAACGTTCTATTATATGCTGATAAGGATGATTTTATGAATCCAATATATATATATATATATATATATATATATATATATATATAATCCTGTAAAAAATTATGTCTCTTTAATTACAAATGCGAATATCAACACAAGTATAAAATAGGCGTTATAAAAATATGATTTATCATTTCCTCTTTGGACACATTGTTTTATAGAGAATTAAGCCACATAATAGAAACACAAATCCACAATTATTTCGCAAAGCATGTTGTCAATGAAGTAATGAGATTGCCTTAAAAAAAAATTTAGAAAAAGAATAAAGGCGACCATAAAAAAACTCGATTAACCGTATGGAAACGATTTCCTTTTTGGACACATCGTTTTACAGAGAATTAAGCAATATAAAACAAACACTGATCCATATTTTCCCAAAATATATTGTTGATGAAGAAATAAGACTGGCTTTAAAGAAATTTAGAAAAATCCTATAGACAACCAACTTGACATGAACAAAAATAATGACTCGATTAAATTGTTTTATTGCAACCAGATGCATCCTAATAAGAAAAACGAAACGGCTATTCAGATAATGATAGGCCGTTATATAAAAGTTATTGATCCTAACAAATACCGTAGATTTATTATTTATTATAAAAAAATGGAGCAGTTTAATCTAACAATTCACCACCATAAAAATCCAACCTATGTAAAAAGTAATACTTTTTATGTGTTCATATATCCTTTTGAAAGACCGTATCTTCGATAATAGCAAATGCATTAAATTCTTACGTTGGACACAAATGTACCACACATTCTGGTAGGTTGACTTGTCACTTGTTAAACTTTAGTGAAGTCCGCGCACATAGATCAACATTACAAATAACCAAAATAATATTAACATATTAAAATTAAAGTAATTGACACCATAGGATTATATAGAATTTAATGCAAGTAAACACTCAACATTCCGGCAGCCATTGAGGTAGCTAATATTTATGCTTTTCATTTCGTAGCAATTTGCGCTGTTGTGTAAAATTACCTCTGGCGCAAACTATTTGGTGTTAAATTTAATGTTCGCCTATACTAAGTTTATTATAACTGATCAAAACCCTGATGTATTTGTAATGTCTAATATTTAATAAATCCATAATTTTTTAGGTGATGATATATATATATATATATATATATATATATATATATATATATATATATATATATATATATATATATATATATATATATATATATATATATATATATATATATATATATTCTTGGGGAACTGTTCCAAGGTTATCTGAATACTTGGATGAATATCGCTGTGGAACTGAGTGAGTAACGGCGCTATATCGAGTCTAGTTACGTGGTACATTTGGCCACGTTTGCGTTGTATAGAAATGGTCCGGGTTCGATTCTGGGCAGTGGATGCGCATTTCTGATGAGTGCCAAATATGACGAAACGGTCGTCCAGTTCTTTTTGTCATTCTGTTGAAGATTTTTCTGGGCTCGATGAATTACTCTATATTATTACTCTAAATCCTTGCTTGAACCGGCTAATGCACGTGAGAAGCAGCTCAGACGTGGCTCATGGGGCGCTGTTCCAAGGTTATCCGTATACTTGGATGGGTATCGCTTCAAAACTGAGTCCATAAAAGGATATGTATAGATATATTTACACGCTAGCGGCTGAAAAATACTTGTATAACCTTTCATTTGAACACACCTCATATGTCCTAAACTTGTTTTAAGTTATTGGAATATCTACTGTTCGTGTACGTGGGGGAAATGCATCAAACTCCGCCTTTATGCCTCCTCATCTGTTTATATGTGGGTACCTAACAGGTGGAATATGGCGAATAGATATACCTGCAATAAAGTGACTCCTTAAAAAGAAACCTCTACTCCAACAACCCATTTATGACTGGATGTTGCCGATTGAGAAACCTACCGACATACAGTCTGCAGATCAACCTCATTCCTTACACAAAAAAGCATGGCAGGATCCGAAGAGAAAATATGACGACTGGAAAAAGGAGACCCTTCCGGTCAATGGACCATCAGTAGACGCTGAGGAAAGATTTACTTCTACCGTGTAAACCTTACTGGTCATCGGTGGCCAAGGAACTGATGGAGATGCTTTGGAAGCTATAATATGCATAACGATATTTAGTAAAAACGAGATGGCTCCAATGAAAAAGAAAAAGAGGCATTGAAGAGATTCTATTTGGGAAAGTATATTTTGGAAGAGAAAAATCAAAACTCCCAAAAGAAAAAAAAGAAGGAATGAAATCGAGATCTTACAGAACAGGGTTTGATGGGAAAAGACCAGATTAAATGTTATGAATTTATAACATTCACTTCGGTATGGCGACAGGCATTACAACAGAGAACGAGTCTTTACCTCTACCAGTGTTTGTTCATATCTATCTATCTATCTATCTATCTATCTATCTATCTATCTAAACTCAATGTGTTTATATCTATCTATCTATCTATCTATCTATCTATCTATCTATCTATCACAGTGTGTACCTATCTATCTATCTATCTATCTATCTATCTATCTATCTATCTATCTATCTCTCTATCACAGTGTGTACATATCTATCTATCTAAACTATCTCAATGTGTTTATATCTATCTATCTATCAATCTATCTATCTATCTATCTAACACAGTGTGTACATATCTATCTATCTATCTACAAGCTAGTTAGCTCTCATAGTCTGTACATGTCTACCTCAGTTCATATCCATCGCAGTATCTATCTATCTATCTATCTATCTATCTATCTATCTATCTATCTATCATTAGTCTGTTAATATCTATCATAATCTGTTCCTATCTATCTATCTATCTATCTATCTATCTATCTATCTATCTATCATTATCTATCTATCTATCTAATCTGTTCTATCTATCTATCTATCTATCATTAATCTGTTCATATCTATCATAATCTGTTCCTATCTATCTATCTATCTATCTATCTATCTATCTATCTATCTATCTATCATTAGTCTGTTCATATCTATCATAATCTGTTCCTATCTATCTATCTATCATTATTCTGTTCATATCTATCATAATCTGTTCCTATCTAATACCCGCTCGGCCCGGTGGCTGGGATCAAAGTGTAGTATCTGCGCTTTAGTCCGAGCTGGTTCTGTCGAACTCTCTGCTTGCAGAGAGGAATCTATCCGCCGAATCTTGGTCGGGTTTAGATGGGTTTGTTTCGGACATATCATTAAAAAATGTACATTCAATCTATCTGAATTCTATCTATCTATCTATCTATCTATCTATCATTAGTCTGTTCATATCTATCATAATCTGTTCCTATCTATCTATCTATCTATCTATCTATCTATCTATCTATCTATCTATTAGTCTGTTCATATCTATCATAATCTGTTCATATCTATCTATCTATATCTATCTATCTATCTATCAATGTGTTTATATCCATCTATCTATCTATCTATCTATCTATTATCACAGTGTTTAAATATCTACCTAGCTATCTATTGATCTAAAATCAATCTAATCTATCTATCTATCTATCTATCTATCTATCTATCTATCTATCTATCTATCATTAGTCTGTTCATATCTATCATAATCTGTTCCTATCTATCTATCTATCTATCATTAATCTGTTCATATCTATCATAATCTGTTCCTATCTATCTATCTATCTATCTATCTATCTATCTATCTATCTATCTATCTATCTATCATTAGTCTGTTCATATCTATCATAATCTGTTCCTATCTATCTATCTATCTATCTATCTATTCTGTTCTATCTCATAATCTATCTATCTATCTATCTATCTATCATTAATCTGTTCATATCTATCATAATCTGTTCCTATCTATCTATCTATCTATCTATCTATCTATCTATCTATCTATCATTAGTCTGTTCATATCTATCATAATCTGTTCCTATCTATCTATCTATCTATCTATCATTAGTCTGTTCATATCTATCATAATCTGTTCCTATCTATCTATCTATCTATCTAAACTCTCTCAATGTGTTTATATCCATCTATCATAGTGTGTACATATCTATCTATCTATCTATCACAGTGTTTAAATATCTACCTAGCTATCTATTGATCTAAAATCAATCTATCTATCTATCTATCTATCTATCTATCTATCTATCTATCTATCTATCTATCTATCTATCACAGTGTGTACATATCTATCTATCTATCTACAAGCTAGTTAACTCTCATAGTCTGTACATGTCTACCTCAGTTCATATCCATCGCAATATATGTCTATCTATCTATCTATCTATCTATCTATCTATCTATCTATCTATCTATCTATCTATCATTAGTCTGTTAATATCTATCATAATCTATCTATCTATCTATCTATCTATCTATCATCTATCTGTTAATATCTATCATTAGTCTGTTCATATCTATCTAATCTGTCTATCTATCTATCTATCTATCTATCTATCTATCTATCTATCTATCTATCATTAGTCTGTTCATATCTATCATAATCTGTTCCTATCTATCTATCTATCTATCTATCTATCTATCTATCTATCTATCTATCTATTAGTCTGTTCATATCTATTAATCTGTTCATATCTATCATAATCTATTCCTATCTATCTATCTATCTATCTATCTATCTATCTAAATCTATCAATGTGTTTATATCCATCTATCATAGTGTGTACATATCTATTCATATCTATCAGTGTTTAATCTAGTATCTATTGATCTATCTATCTATCTATCTATCTATCTATCTATCTATCTATCTATCTATCTATCATTGTAGTCTGTTCATATCTATCTCATAATCTGTACATGTTCCTAGTTCATATCCATCTATCTATCTATCTATCATTATCTATCTATTCATCATCTATCATCAATCTGTTTATCTATCTATCTGTTCTATCTATCTATCTATCTATCTATCTATTAGTCTGTTCATATCTATCATAATCTGTTCCTATCTATCTATCTATCTATCTATCTATCTATCTATCTATCATTAGTCTGTTCATATCTATCTATCTGTTCTATCTATCTAAATCTATCTCTCTATCTATTAGTCTATCCATCTATCATATCTATCTATCTATCTATCTATCTATCTATCTATCTATCTATCTATCTATCTATCTATCTATCTATCTATCTATCTATCTATCTATCTATCACAGTGTTTAAATATCTACCTAGCTATCTATTGATCTAAAATCAATCTATCTATCTATCTATCTAGCTAGCTAGCTATCATAGTCTGTACATATCTATTTCAGTTTCCTATATCTATCATAGTCTTTGCATAACTATCTATCAAAACTCTCGCAATCTGTTCCTCTATGCATCTATGTATCTATCTAAATTCTGTCAATCTCTTCACATCTATCTATCTATCTATCTATCTATCTATCTATCTATCTATCTATCTATCTATCTATCTATCTATCTATCTAATTCACCCAAAAATACATAGAGATCCACTAACGATGCATACATGAAATCTTTTGTTCGGGCCACAACTACTGGTCATTTTTTTGTTCACATCACTATATTTTTACTTATACTCACAGAACAGGCAGGTGGTATGCCGTCTACGTAAAAAAGCAGGCAAGCAGCAACCTCAGTGGTATCAACAAAACTGAAGGTAACAAACAGCCAAAAAAACATGAAAAAAGAAAGAAAAAAACTCGCATACATATCAGTAACCATTATATCCGAAATAATAAACAATTGAACAAAGAAGATATCGATTTATTTTTACCCTTGCAAAACACGAAAAAAAGAAAAAGTTAAAAAACGGAGTGGAGAAAATATAAAGAACAGAGAAAAACATTAAGTTATCGATTATTCATTATTTTAGTTCGATTAACAAAGCAAATCAATGTAGAAAGGAGAAAAAATCTATAAAGAATAGCATTCAAGAAGAAATAGAAATCTTATTTCTTTCTAATATATTATATATTTTTTTTTGTTTCCTTGCATTTTCATATATTAATTACACTGAACTCAATGTACTGAGTGGATAATATTTATGCTTGGGTTGTTTGCTGGTTTATAAAACTGTGTGTCTGCCAGAAATCTTTATTTGCCTCCAGATATATTACGTCGGAACAAAAGTTCATAGCCTTTTTTTAAAGTGAATTTCGAAGGCAATATCCAGATATGAAATGAACGGGATATAAACAGACATGTTGAAACAAAAAAAAAAAATAACATTACCGTAAACTGGTAATATCGTAATAAACGTTTATAGCCTTTTATTTTAAGTGAATTTCAAAGACAATATCCAGATATGAAATGAACGGGATACAAACAGACATTTTGAAAAAAAAAATAACATTACCGTAAACTGGTAATATCGTAATAAACGTTTATAGCCTTTTATTTTAAGTGAATTTCAAAGACAATATCCAGATATGAAATGAACGGGATACAAACAGACATTTTGAAACAAAAAAAATAACATTACCGTAAACTGGTAATATCGTAATAAACGTTTATAGCCTTTTATTTTAAGTGAATTTCAAAGACAATATCCAGATATGAAATGAACGGGATACAAACAGACATTTTGAAACAAAAAAATAACATTACCGTAAACTGGTAATATCGTAATCGTTTAGCCTTTTATTTTAAGTGAATTTCAAAGACAAATCACGATTACATGTCGCAACAACAAAAATAACATTACCGTAAACTGGTAATATCGTAATAAACACGATTAACTAAAAGGACGGTAAAACCATTTTACCTGTTGTGGTAAAAAATAAGCACATCCCATCTGCCCATCACTATTCCATGACGCTTAGAATATTAAGCATGTGGTCCGGTTCTCCTGCTATTTAAGATGATCTCCTTAACAAAATCCAAAGAAGAATCCGCCATATTATCGG